CATTAAACCCACATTCTCTTCTATCTAGTGTTGTCCTCCTGGGGACAGGGAAGCAACATCTGGCCCTCAGTGCAATGATTCATTTGTCCTGTGATGGACATGAATAAGCATGCAAAGCAGGACATGCTTCCTTCGAGTCTCAGCAGAATATCCTTAAGGAAGCCCTGAGATGGTGTGTGTTCTGGATCTATGTCACATAAAGCTAAGTTTCCCTGCCTAGGTTACCCAGATTTCTAGGGGTCCATCGGGGTGGTGATGTAGGGCCTGTATTTGTTGTCTTTCAAAGACTCTAATAATAATTATATACATAACTAATAAGGATACACAGGAAAAAATGTAAAATATCACTCCCTTTATTTTAAGTTATATAAAATCAACATGCCAACTCTAATTAGCTTATGTCAATTTGGTTAAAAGTGTCTTACACGAATATTGAAACTGATTATTACTTATATAATGAGATGCTTACTAAGACAGAACTTAAGATTTCTGAGCGGATTTTCATTATTCTGGTGCATGTGCATGATAAGTCACTTCAATCGTGTCCGACTCTGTGCAAGTGTATGGACGGTAGCCCAGCAGGCTCCTTTGTCCATGGGATTCTCCAGGCAAGATACTGGAGTGGGTTGACATTCCTTTCTTCAGGGGATCTTCCCGACCCAGGAATTGAACCCGAGTCTCTTACTTCTGCTTTGGGCGGTGGGTTCTTTACCTCTAGCGCCACCTGGGAAGCCCCATTATTCTGGTTGCTGCTGTTGCTGCCAAGTCACGTCAGTCGTGTCCAACTCTGTGCGACCCCACAGATGGCAGCCCACCAGGCTCCCGTCCCTGGGATTCTCCAGGCAAGAATACTGGAGTGGGTTGCCATTTCCTTCTCCAGTGCATGAAAGTGACAAGTGAACAATTAAATAGTTATTTTAATTGTACATTTGGAAGGTGGGTGGGCATCCACTCTCCTGGGGAAATGGTATAATCAGATATCTTATATATGGCCAGACAAGGCAGTTTATTTAAGATCCTCAGCAATTAGAGCAGATTGCTGGGGTGAAAGTGGATATATACGTATAGAGTGCAACAAGGCTTCTAAGAGGAAAAGGTCAAGACACTGAGCCCTTTCCTCCTGGGATTAAACAGCAACTATACTCTCCCTTCTCGTTATCCCAACAACAAGATATCCCAATTTTGTCTGTTGATAGAAAATGATCCCAGGGGCCCCCGAAAGGGATTTCACTAATATAAGCCTGTCAACTAAAACAATGCACAATGTGAGAGCTGTGAATTAAGTTTTACTGGGGGCAAAATGAGGACTGTAGCCCAGGAGACAGTATTTCAGATAGCTCTGAGAAACTGCTCCAAAGAGGTGGCGGGGGGGGGTCAGTATATATGTGATTTTGGAGGAGGGGTGTACATGCAGTCAAGCACAGACTTTTTGCAGGTTTCTGCTAGTCTCCTAGAAGTTATTGCTAGTCATGAGGAGCAGATGCCACCATGAAGGATTCTAGTACTTTTCTAGCTATGAGGAGATATAAGAATTGGGCTCACAAAATCCTCTCCTGAAAACATCTAACTATCTAAAGGCCTGTCCTGCCAGGTTTTTCCCAGAGCACAGAGTACCTCATTCCTCATTTCCACTCTGAACTCCTTTCAGGGGTGTTGAAGGCCAGCAGCTGCGGCAGCACATGATTTAATCCTTGTAGAGGTAGATGTGTGTGCATGCGTGCTAAGTCTCGTCAGTCATGTCCAACTCTTTGTGACCCAGTGGACAGCAGCCTACCACGTTCATCTGTTCATGGGGTTCTCCAGGCAAGAATACTGGAGTGGGTTGCCATGCCCTCCTCCAGGGGATCTTCCCGACCCAGGGATTGAACCTGTGTCTCTTATGTCTCCTGCTTTGACAGGTGAGTTCTTTACCACTAGCACTATCTGGGAAGCCCAGAGGTAGATGGTAAGTGCCAATTAGTAAGGCCCAAGGTGGGATATTGGAGAAGCTGGCTATAGTCTAGCATGCAGCTTGTGACCATAAAAGCCACTTAACCCAAAACCTCTGGCCTCATGCCAGGCTTTGGGAACAAGGACAGGACATGGCATCAACAGAAAGAACCATGATTTTGTGCCTGATCAGGCCTGGCACCGCTGTTGTGCTGGCTTATCATCATTTACCACACTGTCTGTCAAATTACATATGGTGTGTTCTTGCCTGAAGTTAAGACTAAGAAGATTAGAACTTCCCAGGTAGCCAGGAGGAAGGAGAGCAGTGCCAAAGACCACAAATTTTAAGAAAATCAGTAGAGGGAACACAGTCCTAAGTTCTGAAGCCAGAGACCTTAAAAAAACATGGGGGCATCTAAGAATTATGTAGGTGACAAAAGACCCTAGTCTTATTCAATTAGCAGCCCAGGAGACTTATCACCAAAGAAGTAGTAATGGTAGGACCAAGCAGATTACTGAATCTATTTGGATTATGAAAGAGGAACAACATACAACAGTGAAAAGAGCCAGGACAAATAATCAGCCAACTCAACTTTGTAATTTATTCGCTGGATGACCTGGAAGGGTTATTCTAGGCAAAAGGAGCAGTTAGGCAAAGCTGTGGTTGGGGAAAATGCACTGAACTGTCAGAGGAGCCATTAAGTGGTGCATGGGAATATGGAAAGAAATTTCCAGAAAAGGACTAAACTTATGTTAAATTTTTGTTGTAAAACAAAATACATTTGACTTTTTTCTTGTTTCTTGAGGTAGGCCTGTAATGTTATGAATCTTCCCCTTAGCACTGCCTTTACAGTGTCCCATAGGTTTTGGGTTGTTGTGTTTTCATTTTCATTCATTTCTATGCATATTTTTATTTCTTTTTTGATTTCTTCTATGATTTGTTGGTTATTCAGAAGCGTGTTGTTTAGCCTCCATATGTTTGAATTTTTAATATTTTTTTTCCTGTAATTAAGATCTAATCTTACTGCACTGTGGTCAGAAAAGATGACTGGAATGATTTCAATCTTTTTGAATTTACCAAGACTAGATTTATGGCCCAGGATGTGATCTATTCTGGAGAAGGTTCCGTGTGCACTTGAGAAAAAGGTGAAGTTGATTGTTTTGGGGTGAAACGTCCTATAGATGTCAATTAGGTCTAGCTGGTCCATTGTGTCCTTTAAAGTTTGTGCTTCTTTGTTCATTTTCTGTTTAGTTGATCTGTCCATAGTTGTGAGTGGGGTATTAAAGTCTCCTACTATTATTGTGTTACTATTAATTTCCTCTTTCATACTCGTTAGCGTTTGCCTTACATATTGCGGTGCTCCTATGTTGGATGCATATATATTTATAATTGTTATATCTTCTTCTTGGATTGATCCTTTGATCATTATGTAGTGTCCATCTTTGTCTCTTTTCACAGCCTTTATTTGAAAGTCTATTTTATCTGATATGAGTATTGCGACTCCTGCTTTCTTTTGGTCTCCGTTTGCGTGGAATATTTTTTTCCAGCCCTTCACTTTTAGTCTGTATGTGTCCCTTGCTTTGAGGTGGGTCTCTTGTAGACAGCATATATAGGGGTCTTGCTTTTTTATCCATTCAGCCAGCCTTTGTCTTTTGGTTGGGGCATTCAACCCATTTACATTTAAGGTAATTATTGATAGGTATGGTCCCGTTGCCATTTATTTTGTTGTTTGGGGTTCACGTTTATACCACCTTTCTGTGTTTCCTGTCTAGAGAAGATCCTTTAATATTTGTTAAAGAGCTGGTTTGGTGGTGCTGAATTCTCTCAGCTTTTGCTTGTCTGTAAAGCTTTTGAGTTCTCCTTCATATCTGAATGAGATCCTTGCTGGGTAGAGTAATCTAGGTTGTAGGTTATTCTCTTTCATTACTTTAAGTATGTCCTGCCATTCCCTTCTGGCCTGAAGGGTTTCTATTGATAGATCAGCTGTTATCCTTATGGGAATCCCTTTGTGTGTTATTTGTTGTTTCTCCCTTGCTGCTTTTAATATTTGTTCTTTGTGTTTGATCTTTGTTAATTTGATTAATATGTGTCTTGGGGTGTTTCGCCTTGGGTTTATCCTGTTTGGGACTCTCTGGGTTTCTTGGACTTGGGTGGCTATTTCCTTCCCCATTTTAGGGAAGTTTTCAGCTATTATCTCCTCGAGTATCTTCTCATGGCCTTTCTTTTTGTCTTCTTCTTCTGGGACTCCTATGATTCGAATGTTGGGGCGTTTCACATTGTCCCAGAGGTCCCTGAGGTTGTCCTCATTTCTTTTGATTCTTTTTTCTTTTTTCCTCTCTGCTTCATTTATTTCCACCATTTTATCTTCTAACTCACTTATCCTATCCTCTGTCTCTGTTATTCTACTCATGCTTCCCTCCAGAGTGTTTTTGATCTCATTTATTTCATTATTAATTTTTAATTGACTTTTTTTAATTTCTTCTAGGTCCTTGTTAAACATTTCTTGCATCTTCTCAATCTTTGTCTCCAGGCTATTTATTTGTAACTCCATTTTGTTTTCAAGATTTTGGATCATTTTTATTATCATTATTCTAAATTCTTTTTCAGGTAGACTCCCTATTTCCTCCTCTTTTGTTTGACTTGGTGGGCTTTTTTCATGTTCCTTTACCTGTTGGGTATTTCTCTGCCTTTTCATCTTGTTTAGATTGCTGTGTCTGGAGTGGGCTTTCTGTATTCTTGTGGTCTGAGGTTCCTTTTTATTGTGGAGGTTTCACCCAGTGGGTGGGGTTGGACGATTGGTTTGTCAAGGTTTCCTGGTTAGGGAAGCTTGTGTCAGCGTTCTGGTGCGTGGAATTGGATTTCTTCTCTCTGGAGTGCAATGGAGTGTCCAGTAATGAGTTTTGCGATGGATCTATGTGTTAGGTGTGACTTTGGAGAGCCTGTATGTTGACACTCAGGTCTATGTTTCTGCGTTGCTAAAGAATTTGAGTGGTATGTCTTGTACTGGAGCTTATTGGCTCTTGGGTGGTGGTTGGTTTTGGTGTAGGTATGGAAGCTTTTGGATGGTCTCTTATTCCTTAATGTTCCGTGTAGTCAGGAGTTTTCTGGTTTTCTCAAGATTTGGGCTTAAGTCATGCAAATTAGTACAGCCACTATGGAAAACAGTGTGGAGATTTCTTAAAAAGCTGGAAATAGAACTGCCATATGACCCAGCAATCCCACTTCTGGGCATACACACCGAGCAAACCAGATCTGAAAGAGACACGTGTACCCCAATGTTCATCGCAGCACTGTTTATAATAGCCAGGACATGGAAGCAACCTAGATGCCCATCAGCAGATGAATGGATGAGGAAGCTGTGGTACATATACACCATGGAATATTACTCAGCCATTAAAAAGAATTCATTTGAATCAGTTCTAATGAGATGGATGAAACTGGAGCCCATTAAACAGAGCGAAGTAAGCCAGAAAGATAAAGACCATTACAGTATACTAACACATATATATGGAATTTAGAAAGATGGTAACGATAACCCTATGTGCAAAACAGAAAAAGAGACTCCTATGTATAGAACAGACTGTGGACTCTGGGAGAAGGCGAGGGTGGGATGTTTCAAGAGAACAGCATTGAAACACGTATATTATCTAGGGTGAAACAGTTCACCAGCCCAGGTTGGGTGCATGAGACAAGTGCTCAGGCCTGGTGCACTGGGAAGACCCAGAGGGATTGGGTGGAGAGGGAGGTGGGAGGGGGGACCGGGATGGGGAATACATGTAAAAAAAAAAAAAAATGAACTATTTTCAACAATGGAAAAAATAAATAAATAAATAAACATATTGTAAAAAAAAAATAAAAAAAAATAAAATGATTAGTTGGAATTAAAAAAAAAAATACAGATACAGAAAATTTTCTATACAGAAGCTATAAAGCATTACTGATAATATTATATTACTAATTAATAATTAGTAATAAATGAGGGAATAGATCATATCCATGATGAAAAGACTCAATATTGTAAAGATGTCTATTTTTTCCAAATTATTTATAGATTCAATGTTATCCCAATAAAAATCCCACTAAGTTTGTTTTTCTTTCCTGGAAAGTAAAAAGAATCCTAGTTCTTAAGAACACAAGATGATGGAGTAGCCCCATAATTACTTATCTACATTATCCTATACTATATAACAATAGTCTGAAAATAACAATGTTGAGACTACCAACTTATTGCCTATGCATGCTCCTCATTCTTCAGTTCAGTCACTCAGTCGTGTCCAACTCTTTGTGACCCCATGGACTGCAGCACACCAGGCTTCCCTGTTCATCACCAACTCCTGAAGCTTGCCCAAACTCATGTCCATCAAGTCAGTGATGCCATCCAACCATCTCATCCACTGTCATCCCCTCCTCCTCCTGCCTTCAATCCTGCCTAGCATCAGGGCCTTTTCCAATGAGTCAGTTCTTCACATCAGGTGGCCAAAGTATTGAAGCTTTACCTTCAGTATCAGTCCTTCCAATGAATATTCAGGACTGATTTCCTGTGGGATGGACTGGTTTGATCTCCTTCAGTCCAAGGGACTCTCAAGAGTCTTCTCCAACAACAGTTCAAAAGCATCAATTCTTTGGGGCTCAGCTTTCTTTATGGTCCAACGCTCACACCCATACATGACTGCTGGAAAAACCATAGCTTTGACAATACTGACCTTTGTCAGCAAAGTAATATCTCTGCTTTTTAACATGCTGTCTAGGTTTGTCATAACTTTTCTTCCAAGGAGCAAGCATCTTTTAATTTCATGGCTGCGGTTACCATCTGCAGTGATTTTGGAGCCCCCCTAAATAAAGTCTGTCACTGTTTCCATTATTTCCCCTCCTATTTGCTATGAAGTGATGGGACCGGATGCCATGATCTTCATTTTTTGAATGTTGAGTTTTATGCTAGCATTTTCACTCTCTTCTTTAACTTTCACTAAGAAGCTCTTAAGTTCCTCTTCACTTTCTGCCATAAGGATGGTGTCATCTGCTTATCTGAAGTTATTGATACTTCTCCCTGCAATCTTGATTCCAGCTTGTGCTTCATCCAGCCCAGCATTTCGCATGATGTACTCTGCATAATGTACTCTGCATAAGGCTTCCCTCATAGCTCAGTCGGTAAAGGATCTGCCGGCAATGCAGGAGACCTGGGTTCGATTCCTGGGTTGGGAAGATCCCCTGGAGAAGGAAATGGCAACCCACTCCAGTATTCTTGCCTGGAGAATCCCATGGGCAGAGAAGCCTGGCAGGCTACAGTCCATGGGGTCTCAAGAGTCAGACACGACTTAGTGGCTAAACCACCCACTTTGCACATAAGTTAAATAAGCAAGGTGACAATGTACAGCCTTGATATACCCCTTTCCCAGTTTGGAACCAGTCTATTGTTTCATGTCTCATTCTTATAATACTATGTCTTAATTTGTTGGGTGTATAACTATTTCATGCTATACCTCTGGGGCTCAGGAATCTTGCAAGTGCTTGTGGGATCTAGTTCCTTGATGAGGGATAGAACCTGGGTCCCTTGCATTGGCAGCACGGAGTCTTAATTACTGGACCACCAGTGATTAGGGAAGTCCCTAGCTTATTTTTAAATAAAAGATTGTAAGATTTGATAAGTTCTGTGGATATGTTTTCTTGGCATGCTTTCCTTGTCTGTAGGAATGCTATTCTGGTATTTTTCCTTTTTTATAAAAAAAAAGTTTTTATAATATTTGACTTTAATACCTTTCTTTTGCTCATTTTTACATAAAATTGGTATTCTTGAACTTTCAGAAGAAAATGTGGTTCAGGGTGGGTTTTCTAACTTCACCATTTCCTTCTTCTGCTCTTTTCACATAGTGTTAAAACAAACATGGTGGCTTCCTTTGTCAGATTTCCCATTCTGTTCCCCTACCTCACCCTCACCTGTTCTTCCCTGTATTTTTTTTTTCTTTTTTTTTTTTTTTTTTGCCACTCTTGTCCCTATCCTGCTTGATTTTTATTCCACTTCTTCCCCCAGAGGACCAGACTGCAGAGCTCTCGGGTCCTAACCCCCCCTTCTTGCACATCAGGCCTCACCCGGTGCTGGGTGAGAACCACCTGGAGGGGAGGACACAATGCCCCACGATCCCAGATCCTCCAGGACCTCAGTGCCTCGGTTACTCTCCTGTCAGAGACAGTGGGAGGAAGCTGCCTTCCTCTGGTACGTAGTCCTAGTCTCAGGCTCACTGGCCTGTCCATCGGTCTCCCTCTCAAAGATATTCTAGACCTAGGCAATTCCTGGGACTTCGTCAAATAAAAAACAGAGCCTGGGCACAGCCATAACAGTGACTCAAGACTGCTGTTCTCAAAGAGAAGTGCTGCCATATATACACTGTGCTTAGTCACTCAGTCATGTCTGACTCTTGGCAACCCCAAGGACTATAGCCCGCCAGGCTCCTCTGTCCATGGGGATTCTCCAGGCGAGAATACTGGAGTGGGTTGCCATGCCCTCCTCCAGGGGATTTCCCCACCCCAGGGATTGAACCCAGGTCTCCCGCATTGCAGGCAGATTCTTTACTGTTGCAGTCATCAGGGAAGCCCAAGAATACTGACAACCTGCCTTCTCCAGGGGATCTTCCCAACCCTGGAATCGAACCGGGGTCTCCTGCATTGCAGGCTGATTCTTTACCAGCTGAGAGACCATGAGTAAAACTGATAACTAGTGGGAAGCTGTCGTATAACCCAGGAAGCTCAGCTAGGTGCTCTGTGCTGATCTAGAGGGGTGGGATGGGGGTGGGGACTCAGAGGGAAGAGATATATGGATACATAGAGCTGATTCACTTTGTTTTACAGCAGAAAATAACACAACATTGTAAAGCAATTATACTCCAATTAAAAAAAAAAAAAGACTGCTGCTCTGGACTCCGCGCTGCCTGCTTCCTTGTCTCTAGACACTTGGAAGCAAGCGGCCTTGGTGGGAGACTTTGGTGTTCCAGCAAGGTTAGAGAGGGACAGGAAACCTGCTGGGGCAGGAGCACTTCTCCTTTGTCCATGGAAGAACTGAGAAGAGATCTGTTTCTTTCCAAAGTTCATTCATTTGACAAACACACACCGAGCACCTTCCATGTACAGGGAATTATAAAATTACAAAAATGAAACAGCCAAGGGGCTGGACTGGGCTGGATGAAGGTCAGTCTGGTTGAAAGGCGGGGTGGCCTGAGATGACCTCTGAAGGGAAAGGCGAGTTCCCATGGGAGCATCATGCTGCTTCCACAGTGCCCTCTGCTGTCCGGGGTTTGCTGCAACTGTCCAGACAGCTGACCACGCTAGGACTTGCCTCCTCCAAGCACTTCTGTCCTCGTTCGTTCACGGGAGGGCAGCCTCCAATGGAAAACACACAAAGCTGCTAGGAAGTAGTTCTTAATCCAGGGTTTCTCGCAGGCAGAAGTGTCCTGGGCCTGGGGTAAACAGGGGAAGGAGGGGTTGTAAACACTGTCAGTCCAAAGCAGGGACTTAGCATCCTCCCTGGAAAGGAAACTTTCCACTCAGGCCTGGTTCCAGTCCCGATGTCAGGCAGTCTTGCATCAGCCAGATAGCACTGGGAGAGCTGGCAAGGGGCAGCCCACATGCTGGGACGCCAGAACTGGCAAGGTCTGGAGAAGATTCTAACGAAACCCATTTGCTTTACACAGGAGGAGGGCAGAGGCCAAGGGAGGGGCAGTGACTTTCCAGAGAGACCCAGTGAGGCTGCGGCAAAGCTGAGAGAAGAATCCAAGTTCTCCCGGCTCTTCGGCAGAGATGTTCCCTGGGAATGACATTCACAGACCAAAGGTGAACCAGACACACGGCAGGAGGCTTCCTGTAGAAGTGATGTTGTATAACCAGGGGCCAGAATTGCACAGCTTTCAAGCATCCACAGTGGCGAAAGTGAAAAACAGTCTAAGACAAAGGGAAGGGAGGTAGGACCAGGTGACTGCTTAATGAATATGGAAACCCAGGCTGGGGCCCTAGCGAAGCCCCCCCAGCCCGTGCATGCCTGCGTGCTAAGTCGCTTCAGTCGTGTCCGACTCTTTGTGACCCTATGAACTGTAGCCCACCAGGCTCCTCTGTCCTTGGAATTCTCCAGGCAAGAATACTACAGTGAGTTGCCGTTTCCTTCTCCAGGGGATCTTTCCAACCCAGGAATCGAACCCATGTCTCTTTTGTCTCCTGCATTGGCAGACGGGTTCTTTACCACTAGCGCCACTTGGGGAGCCCTAGAGAAGCCCCCATCCACACCCAAAGCACGTCCCCAGTTCTCCCAGAAACCATCCTACCATGTGGGTCTGTTTTCACCACTATTTCTCACCTTGATACTCTACTTGATTGGGGCTAGTTTGCTTGGCA